CAGATCTCAATTGAGACATATTCCAGAGCCTCAGGAATGATCCAAGCTCCCTCTGGACGCCAGCAGAACCATTAGGAGCCTGGGGCAGATGGACTGAATAGGTCCTACCTTGTTACAGATCTCCCAACACAATTGGAGCATGATCTCACCAGGACAAGGGATTGATGTTAATATCCCCCATCTCCAGACCACATCACTGCTGCCTCAAGTTAAAAAACAGATCCAATGTGCAGCCGCCACTGTGACTCAGGCCCATGGCTGCCACTGTGGCCATAAACACCCAGGCTGCCTCCGACTCTGCACTTAGGGAAGGTATGTTGGGATGTCCCAAGACTACAAGTTTTGGGAATTTAAGTGTCAGCCTGGCAACAGATCAAGGAGGTACATTAGCAGCAAACCCAGCAGATTCCTAGAGCCCAGATTTACAAGCAGGGTCCTACATCCGGTTATCTGCAGAGCAAGCCCTTATGTTATCTTAAGCCCTTGTGTTATCTGCACACCCTCACCCCTGCTCTGGGCTCATGGCTGATGCCACACTCAAAGCTCCTAAGGGCAGACCTCTAAGGGGGAAGTCCTGCCCTTTTGCCCAACCAGGTCACTGTTATGTGCCTGATTGCCCAGTTCTCCACCTGTTGCTTTCCTGCTCCAGGTACAAGCCTGCCAAAGGTTGGCCTCCTTTTAAAATATGCAAATATTGACAGGGTTGACTCATGATAAAACTCTCTGCCTGCCAGCATGGACCAGACATCTGATAATGTAATTGTTCTTAGCAGAAGTCAAACCTGGACACTTCAAGGCTCCTGTTTTGGATCAAATCAGTTACAGGGATTGTGGAAGTCCAGTGTTTTAAAGAAAGCCTCCTATACTGGAGAAATGGGGATCACTGGCAGGTGAAAAACTGGGACACCAGGAGAAGAAGCTGGGACTCTCCTCCGGCCCCAGGATTCCCATTTCTCCATCTTGCCAGCCCAAGGGAGTGGTCGGACTCTCCGCAGTCACGATGGCCGAGAAGGCAAGCAGGATCCAGCCACTGCTCTGCCCGAGCTTCCCCTCCATGGCAGCAAACACCTGCCCGCTGGCCTCACTGACCTGGTCTGTCAAGGTTGCCAGAAGCCTGTCCAAATGGCAGGTGAGGGCCTCAGTGGGGGCTGCAGGGTCTTCTAGTGGGAGGCAGATAAAGGCGCGGCTGCAGTCATCAAACAGGAAGTCCCGGCCCTGGCAGGGAAAGGAGCAGGCACAGTGCCTGTCATCAGACACCCCCATGCCCCCCAGGGAGGAAGCGAGCCCAGGAACCCACAGGCTCTGTCAGCCTCCAGCCTCAGAGTCCCCTCAGCTGCAGGGAGTCTTCCCAGGAGCTGCAGGTCTACTCAGGAGCCAGTTAGCCCTTGAGGAGCAGCGGTCAGGCCAAGCCAGGCAGGGCCTGGAGATGAGAGGGTGGGGCCCATGTCGGCCTTGACCTACCCTGGCTACCCTGTTTTTGCTCTGATTTCCAGCTGGCCCTGTGCTTCTCTTCTGGACTGACCTGTTTCTGACTCTCTCTGATACATTCTGGGTGGGTCTCCCTTTGGCCAGACCAGAGGCTGAAGGCAGGACATGCTGCCTGGGGTATTCCCTGCCCCACCCCGAAGCAAGCTGCGTCCTCCCTCATTCTCTAGTGGGAGCAAGGAATGTGCCTCTTCCCAGACAGCCTAAGCAGAAGTCCCCACAAATGCAAAATCCAGCATTTCCCCAAAGTAAGAACAGAGTCTCTGCTCACCATGTGCAGGATGAGAATCCTGGCCTTTTGCAAGACATCAGCAGTGACCACCTGGAACAGGCAGAGAGGAGAGGAAGACTAAAGATCGGAATTAAACTGCGAGGCCTGGATGTACTCCGGAAGAGAGAGGCAAGTGCTACGTGGAGGAGACCTTTGGGAGCTGCTGCCCCCAGACCTGCGCAACGCCTCGAACAGAACACCAAGCTGGCTTTCTATCCAGACCTGTCTTTGTCTTGAACCCTCAAGAGAGACCAGTAAGATCCTGCTCTGCTGATCGAGCATTCCCTGCAAGGGCGGACGCGACGGCTCCGCCCCTGCTCCACCTGCACAACACCCCTGCAGAGAGAGCGGAGCAACAGGCTGCGGAAGGGTCTGCTTAACGCCAGCCACTTCACCGAGTCCCTCAGCTCAGACTCCCCCACGTATCAGGCAGGGGCCTTTCTGCCTCCTCCTCCCCCGAGCGACACAGTTGCCCACATGGCCCAGAGGCAGCTCCCATCCCAGGTGGAGGTACCATGGAAGGCGGGGATCCTGCGAGGCTTGTGGGAAAAGGCAGCTTCTCACTAGCGCATTCCAGGTCCGCTGTGGAAGGACCGCAGAAGGCGGGTTTTGCTGCCTGTTGGGGGTCCAGCTAGGCCGAGAGCAGGAGCTAAGAGGGCAGGCCAGTTGGGGGTGAGGGCGGGAGATGTCGGGGTGCTCACCGTATAGCCAGCCCGGGCACTTAGGTGTTCTGCCGCCACCAGCAGACCGTTGAGCGTGGCCCCTCCACTGCCGACCTGGGCTTTGGGGTCTTCAACGGTGAGGAGGACGGTCTCCCGGCCCAGAGAGCCCCTGTCCCGCCGGACCTCGAGCTCTGGAAGGCAGAGCAGCAGCGTCAGCCAGCCGGCGCACGGGGCAGAGCTCCTGGCAGCACCGGCCTGGTGAGGAGGCCACCGGCTGCCCGGGAAGTTCCCGCCGCGCCGCGCCACACGGAGCCGAGATGCCGTCGGGTCTCTCCCGAGAGCGGGAGGGGGAGGGGGAGGCGTCTCCCTGGGTGCCGAAATGAGCTCCGCTGGCCCAAGACCCTTCCCCGGGCCCCCGCCCTCTCGGCCGCGCCCCCCAAGGGCCTCCTCGTGGCCGCGCAGCGCAGAACTGCTCCGCAAAGACACGGATCGATCCGGAGCTGGTTCGTCCCACCCTCCGCCTGAAAAGCACCTCGGTGCGACCTGATGGGGAGCCGCCGGAGGAGGAAGTTCGCCGCGAAATCGGCTCGAGGAGAGGAGCAGGCGCCTCAGCGGCGGAGGCGGCCTGCTGGCAAAACAGCAGAGGCAGCCGCGGGAGCCAAAGCGTCCGCCCAAACGGAAGGGACGGAAGGGACGACGCAAGCGGCTCCCCCCCGTCGCTGCCGGCGCGCGAGGGGCGCGGAGCCCCGCTCACCTCTCTGGAAGGCGAAGGCGCTGTCCTTGTGCTGGC